GCTAGCTATAGTAGCTCATGCTTATAATCCCACCAATTGTGAGGCAGAGGCAGGAGGATCAGGAGTTTAAGGTGACCCTCAGCTACACAGTGAGTTTAAGGCTATCCTAGGCTACATGGTGCTAAAACAGTGAATAACTGAAACGAAATCCATAAGGTTGGGATAACTTTAATAGATAAATGCCAGCCAACAGCAAGCCAGAGCGTGCCAAAAGCAGCAAGGCAAGACAGTGCCCACGTGCCTTGTCTGTCCCTTTAAAACCTCTCCCGAGTCACCCTGACATCACCTTGACCACAGCATGATGGGCGTGGTCGGGCACACCTATAGCCACTCCTTAGGAGGCATGGTTATGAGTCTCCCTACACCCCTCCCCCATGCCCAAAAAAAAAAAAAAAATAGACTGCTAATAAACAAAAAAACCTGGGCATGGCAGCATGCACCTGTAATAGAAACACTTAATAGATGAGAGCAGGAGGATCAGAAGTTCAAGGTCATCCTCAGATACATAGCATTCTCTAGTTCAACCTGCATAGCAAGAACCTCTCTCTCTCTCTCTCTGTCTCTCCCTCCCTCCCTCCCTCTCTCTCTCTCCTCTCTTTTTTTTTTTAAAGTAGAGCTGGGTTTGGTGATACATGCCTTTAACTCCAGTACTTAGAAGTCAAAGGCAGGAGGATCTCTGTGAACTCAAAGCTAGCCTGGCATAGTAGCAAGATCCAGCCTCTCCCCTCTCCTGAAAAAAAGTAGGAGCTGGAAAGATGGCTCATCTCTGGAGAGATGACTGTGTAACTCAGTTCAAAGGCATTTGACGCCCTCTTCTGGCAATTTTTGGTACTGCATGTATGTGGTACAACCCCATAAGTGCAGGCAAAAAACAAAAAACAAAAAACACTCAAAAAGAAGAAATTTGACTTCACATTTTGGACATTTTTTGTATTGTTTTATTTTTTAATGTTTTATGGATCATTGCAACCAATCTCCCTCTTTCTCTCACGTTCATCCCATCTTTTTTTTTAATTTGAGAATTTCATACGTGTATACAGTATGTTTTGATCAAATCCATCCTCCAGTTCTCCCAGCTCCTCCCTATAAGGTCTCCCTCCTAAGTCCCTGTACTGCTCATATACCCTTAAGCCATATCCCTGAAGAGAACTGTCTCATCCTCCCCCAGCAGCCATCAACTGCCAATAGCTCCTCAGCTAAAGGTGGGGCTTTAGGAAATCCATACTGGAGTTTTGATTGGCAGGCTCTTGTGCATGCTGCCACAGCCACTGTGACTGCATGTGTGCAACAGGCTTGTTATGTCCAGAAAACACTATTTCACAGCACTCCTCTGATTCGCACAGTCCTTCTGCCTCAGCTTCTGCTTTGCCCCCTGAACCTTGGCGGTGGTGGCAGAGGTGGTGGTGGTGATGGTGGTGGTGGTATAGGTGGCTGGGGTAGGGGTGGTGCTGCTGTTGCTGTTCATGTGTCATTAGGGCTGAGCACTTTGCAGTTCTTACTGGCTGTAGTTTGACCAGTTGTGGGTCTCTGTCTGTATTAAGCATACTTTACTGCAAAAACAGGTTTCTCTGCTGAGGACTGAGAGCTCCACTAATCTGGAGTACAGGAAAGGGAGATACCCAATGGTTTGATTTTTTTTTCGAGACAGGGTTTCTCTGTGGCTTTCGAGGCTGTCCTGGAACTCACTCTCTAGACCAGGCTGGTCTCGAACTCACAGAGATCCGTCTGCCTCTGCCTCCCTAGTGCTGGGATTAAAGGCGTGTGCCCCCACGCCTACCTGTTTGCTTCTTTTTAACTGAACCTTTTGATTGCCTTTTGTATTTTTTTTTAGAAAAATGATGAATCATCTGTGACTTTTGGATATGTATTAAGTTCTTTTATTAAGATTTATTTATTATGTATATAGTGTTCTGCCTGCATGTATGCTTGCACACCTGAAGAGGCACTAGATCTCATTACAGATGGCTATGAGCCACCATGTGGTTGCTGGGAATTGAACTCAGGACCTCTGGAAGAACAGCCAGTGCTCTTAACCTCTGAGCCATCTCTCCAGCCCCTATTAAGTTCTTTTTTGCAGCTCTAGCCATTCAGCCTCAAGCCTTGTACATGCTTCTAATTTTCTACTTACTGTATCCATTGGTTGAAATGTATTTCATTTTTGCTTATCTACTTTTGAGATGAGGTTTCACTGGACTCTGGCTGGCCTGGAACTCACTATAGCCAAGGTAGTCTTCCTTCTCCAGCACCTTCAGTATTGGACCTGTAAGCCTCGACCAGCATTCCTGCCTCCAATCTATTTAATTCTTAGGATACATTCTTTCTGCTTGCTTTCCAAGCCTGCTTCACAGCTGTCACCCTGAAATTTTGTTTTTCTCAATGAATATGAGTTAAGTCTGCATTTTCTTATTGCCCATATATTTTTCTTTCTGATATTTACCCTGGTTTTGTAAGAGTACATCTTTTAAGTAGCTTAAGCCTTTAATCCCAATACTCAAGAAACAAAGGCAGATGGATCTCTGTGACTTCAAGGCCAGCCTGGTCTACAGAGAGAGTTCCAGGATGGCCAGAACACAGAGAAACCCTGTCTCAAAAAACAAACAAAACAAAACAAAAACGTACATCTCTAAGTAACATACTCAGAAAGAATAGATGTTCCTAGTGTCTACATTTTTCGGGTGGGTGAGTGGGACAGGGTTTCTCTGTGTAACAACCCTGGCTGTCCTGGAACTTTCCCTGTAGATTAGACTGGCCTCAAACTCACAGACATCTGCCTTCTTCCTGCCTCTGCCTCCTGAGTGCTGGAGCCAAAGGCATATAACATCACTGCCTGGCCAAGTCTTTAAGTCTTGGAAAATAATCTTTTGTACTCAACTTGATTAATAATTTGGTTGAATTTTAAATTCTAAGTTCAACTTGTAGAATTGTCATCAAGAAATTTGTGGTTTCCTTTTTTAAATTACTTTTTGTTTGTTTCTTTGCTTGTTTTTTTTTTTTTTTTTTTTTTTTTTTTTTTTTTTTTTTCAATACAGGGTTTCAGGGCTTTCCTGTGTATCCTTGCCTGTCCTGGAACTCCCTCTGTAGACCAGGCTGGCCTCAAACTCACAGAGATCACCTACCTCTGCCCCCTGATTGCTGAGTTTAAAGGAGTGCACAACCACCACCCAGCTTAAATTAGTTTTATTAATAAGTTTTGTTCTTTGATAATTTCATAAGTGTGCATAATGCGTTCTAGTTACTCTTCCCAGTGTCTCTTATACCCTTCCCACCTTTGCCATCTCTCCCTTCTTCCTTACAAATCTTTTCCCCATATTTACTAGTTTTTGTTTTATGTCCCACAGAGTTTAACTAGGGCTGTTTGTGTGACCCACAAGCAGGCTTTGGAAGTAACCATCAGAGCATGGTGGGTTCACCACTGTGTATACAAGTGGATTCTGTGCCTTTCCCTCTCCCAGAATCTGTTAGTTGCCAAAAGATCAGCTATAGGTGGTAAGGACCTATGGGTCTCTTCTCTTTCCATAGCTGGCTGTTAGGAAGGCTCTGCCTGTATAGGCCCAGAGCCAGTAGGCATAGCTGTTGTGAGTTCAGCATTTCTGTGGCTGGGACAAGCATAGAAAATGACATTTTGCTGGGCGTTGGTGGCACATGCCTTTAATCCCAGTACTCGAGAGGCAGAGGCAGGTGAATCTCTTGTTCTAAGGCCAATCTGGTCTACAAGAGCTAGTTCCAGGACAGCCTCCAAAGCCACAGAGAAACCCTGTCTTGATCCCCCCCCCCCGAAAAAAATAAAATGACATTTCTTATTCCTTCCTATCTTCTGGGGTTTCCTTTTTATCATCATCATCATTGCGTGTGTGCTTGATGCTTGCATTTGCCGGCGTGCCTCATCACATCCATGGAGGTGAGAAAACAACTTTGTGGGGTTGCTTTTCTATTTTCACCTTTCTATGAGTTCTAAGGCTCAAACTCAGGTAACCAGACTTACATGACAAGCTCCCTTACCCACTGAGCCATCTTATCTCGTTGGTCCTGTGGTTTCCTTTGGTGGGTTCTTAATCTTGTTAAAATAATTTACAGTGGACTCAGAAGGAAGCCTGAGTGAGGACTGTTTCACTAGATTTTGAAAGCAAAACAACAGATCAGGCAAGCTATAAATCTTGGCAGCTCCCAGATGGAGGGAGTTTCAGAAAGGAGAGCCTTACGTCTTTTGAGTTAGGGTCCAGGAAAGATAGAATGTTGGAGCATACTTAGGCTTTTGGCTGGTATCCATAGAGATAGAGAGAAGAAAATCTGGGGCTGGAGAGTTTGCTCAGTGGTTAAGAGCACTGGCTGCTCTGCCAAAGGTCCTGAGTTCAATTCCCAGCCACCACATGGTGGCTCACAATCATCAGTAATGGGATCTGGTGCCCTTTTCTGGCAAAAAAGTCAATAGAGCACTCATATACATAAAATAAATAAATCTTTCTTAAAAAAGGAAACTGATGGGCTGGAGAGATGGCTCAGAGGTTAAGAGCACGGACTGCTCTTCCAGAGGTCCTGAGTTCAATTCCCAGCAACCACATGGTGGCTCACAACCATCCGTTATGAGATCTGGTGCCCTCTTCTGGTGTGCAGATATGCATGGAAGCAGAATGTTGTATACATATTAAATAAATAAAATCTTTTAAAAATTATTAAAAAAAGGAAACTAAAATGTGTTGTGCTTCTTTTTGGTTAAGACTCAGAAAGGCAGGCAGACTTAGCAATGCCACATGACAGAAGCTCTGTGAGCAACTATATCAAGGGAGTGGATTCTGGGAAATATCATTAAGGAGGTTAATTATTTCTCCTGTTTCCCTAGCTTGTCTTCGGGTGAATGAGGTTTCTTGTGGGGCAGTCTCTTGCCAGTTGATTGACAGGCCTTGCTAGATTAACACTTAAGGGAGGAAGCAATGTTATAATATTGTGTTGTAATCTTTGGAGCAGAGACGGAACTCAGATTCCATTTTTTTTTTTTTAAACAGGAGGAAGTCACTTTCTCTTTATGAACCCCAACAAAGCTCCAACACCTTCATCTATTTGTATGGTATTTTAAATCCTAAAAAGGGACAATTGTGTTTCTTCCTCTCCTGTTGTTACCATGGAAATGGGAGGTAGGGTCTAAAGCAAATCATGAAAGAGTGGTCCATCTTCAGTGGTTTCTAAGTCTCCTAATCTGCTAATCCCTGTAACATCCTTCTTCACCAAGAGTCAAGACCCCAAAATCATGTAAGGGATGGGCCGAAATTGGGACACAGAAGGGCTTATAAGGAGCAGTTCTCAACCTTCCTAATGCTGCGATCCTTTGATACAGTTCCTCAAGTTGTGGTGACCATCAACCATGAAATTATTTTTGTTGCTACTTCATAACTGTAATTTTGCTACTGTTATGAATTGTAGTGTAAATAGCTGTGTTTTTTTATGGTCTTGGGTGGCTTTGACCTTTTATGGTCAAAAGGTCATTTGACCCCCAAAGGAGTCTCAACCCTTAGGTTGAGAACCACTGACTTGGGGTCTCCACTCTTGCTGACTTTTAGGCCTTGGAGGGTGGGTGATTAAGGAGTTACATTGCAGCAGGACCATCAGATAAAAGAGATAAAATTATGATAGCAGTTGAGTGCTGTGTGACTCACTGGGCCACACTATAGCTCCCATGCTGGGAGTGGCACCTTTAGGAGGTGTGGCCTTGTTGAAGTAGGTGTGGTCTTGTTGGAGGAAGTGTGTCACTGTGGAGACAGGCTTTGAGGTCTCATATATTCTCGAGCCACACCCAGTGTCTCAGTTCACTTTCTGTTGCCTTTGGATCAAGATGTAGGAATCTCAGTTCAGCACCATGTCTGATTGCATGCTACCTTGTTTTCTGCCATGATAATGGACTAAACCTCTGAACTGTAAGAGAGCCACCCCAATTAAATGTTTTCCTTTGTAAGAGTTGCTATGGTCATGGTGTCTCTTCACAGCAATAAAACCCCTAAGTAAGACAAGGTCCAAAAAAAAGACAACAATGTCCAAAGATTAGTAGCATAACTATTAAGATTATGATAGATACAGCCCATTTCCACTATGAAAATACAGATATGCAGTTCCAAAGTTACTCAAGGGGATGAGCGTCTACACTGGAGTTTTTCTCATACTCACACAGCTTCTGGGCAACTGTGTAAAATGAGAAGAAAGACAACAAGAGGTCAGATCACAAACTAGAGCCCCCAAACACTTCTGGCATTTCTGGCCTGTGGCCAGAACAGAACAAGGATCGTTTTTTGGCTTCTGGTCAAGGACAAGAATGGGTACTGCTTGTTTCTGAGGTCCCTGCTGTAAAACTGCCTGTTTTTACAAGCATAGCTTTTTCCTCTGGGCATGCATGACCATCCTATTTTTACCATGGAGTAGAGAAAACTTGGGACCCACAGTCAGCAATGAAATGAACAGAGCAAATACTGTGATCGATAGTCTGTGGTAAAGGTAATGGCGCTTTTAACACTTCCATCCTGCCTCTCAGCTGCGTGTGACCTGGAGAAGGGAGTGCTAGAGTAGACAGGCAGAAGATTAAAGGTGGGATGCCATAATGTCGCTTCCTTGATGTCTCTTCCTTGATGTCTCACTCATGATGAGGTGAGACTTTCAAGTGAGGTAGCTGTTTTTGAGTCACCTACACTCTTGTAAGTAACCCACCACCCACACACTCTCCCTTAAGTAACCCCAATAAACTCACTGGTTCACCAAGTGGGACTTCCATGAAATTGTTACTCTGGTCTGTCATTGATGCCCAGGCATGCCTCCCTAGGAAAAATAATGCAACTGTTCAGAATAATTTTTCCTCATAGTTTTTTTCCTCATAGTTTTAAAATGTTCTAACATCCAATTTTGCTAATGAGAATTTGTTTTGCTAATGATTTTTGTTTCTTCTTTTTTGTTGTAGTAAGGGTTGAACCCAGGTACTTGGGCATACACCGGACAGGAATTCTACTACTGAGCCATATACCTAGCCCCTAATTTTTGTTTCTTTAGGGGTTAATCAGCTTTTTTATTTCTGAATATAGTTACAGTTTTCTCTTCCTGATTTGTAAAACATTTTTGTTTTCTTTTCAACAAGGCTTTAAATCATCCATTTGTTTGTTTGTTTGTTTATGTCTGCCTGTCTGTCTGTACACCTGTTTGTATGGATGTCTGTAGAAGCCAAAAGAGAGTGTCAGTTGGGATTGGAGTTACAGGCATTTGTGAGATGCCTGAGGGGTACTGAGTTCTAAACACTTACAAATTCACAGCAAGCATTAAAAAAACTTTTTATTGATTCTTTGTGGATTTTACATCATGAATCCCAATCCCATTCATCTCCCCATTCCTTTGTATCCACCATCTGCCTTTGCAACCTCCCCCCAAAATAAAATAAAATAAAATAAAATAAAATAAAATAAAAACAGCCAAACAAGCCGGGCGTTGGTGGCGCATGCCTTTAATCCCAGCACTTGGGAGGCAGAGGCAGGTGGATCTGTGTGACCAGCCTGGTCTACAAGAGCTAGTTCCAGGACAGCCTCCAAAGCCACAGAGAAACCCTGTCTCAAAAACAACAACAACAACAACAACAACAAAAACAGCCAAACAAAAACAGAACAAAATAAAAAGTATCCCAGTATGGAAGCTGCAATGTGACCCATGAGTCACAAATATGCCCTTTAGTCCATACATTTTATAAGTGTTCATTGCAATGAGTCATTGGTCTGTCTGGAGGCCTCTGGCTTCTGCTACACTATTGGTAATAGGCTCTCACTGGGACTCCTCTTGGATATCCTGTTATTGTCGTGTAGCTTCGGATCTTTCACATGCAATAGCAGTTCATATTTGGTGGATGTTGGGTTGGGCTACCTCGTAGTCCTGGTTCTGGGATTGTGTGGTAGCTGGGTTGGTCAGCCTGCCAGCTTTCCCTTATCATTACTATCTGGCTGGTTCACCCAGTGCAGCCTGCAGCAAGGAGTGGGACCAGTTCCCCTGGTCTCATACTCTTGAGGGCCAGGTCACCCTCACCCACACCACCAAACCTGTTCTACTGTTCTGCCCAGAAGAGGTACAGGGCCCAAGCAGCAAGCATTCTTAACTCTAAGGCATCTCTCCAGTCCTTGAAACTTTTTTTAAAAATTGACTTTTAAGTTAGTATATAACATGACGGGTTTCAACATTGCATCTTCATACACATATGTTTGTAAGTATCCTTTGTTCTGATTTGTCTCCTTCCCATCTTCCCTATCCCATCTAGCTTTCCTTGCTCTCCACCTCATCTGACACTTACAATAGCTTCCTCCCCTCCCATGATTCCTTTTCTAATTTCAAGACACACACACACACACACACACACACACACACACACACACACAAACACACGTGTATGAAAGAACACATGTAATGTTTGTCTTTCAAAGTTTGATTTATTTTGCTAAATATGACAATCTCCAGTACCATTATTTACCTGCAAATGTCATGATTTCATTTTTCTTTATAGCCAAGTAAATTCCATTGTGAGCATGTACTGCATTTTCTTTATCCATTCATCTAAGGCATTCTGGCTATTATGAACAATGCAGTGATGAACACAGGTGTATAAGTAGTTTGTGGTATGCTGACTGTTAGCATAATATTATATAATATCTGCATATGGGTCATTTCTCTCCCTATTGAGCTTGGTAGGCCCTAATAGTAGTCTACTTTCTAGAGTCTCTATTCTGTCTGTGGTTAAGTGTGCTCATTCTGTCCTTTCCATGATACTGTTTACCATTCCATATCTGGTGGTCCGTGGTTATCTCTTTATACTTAAAAATGAAAGAACTGGGCATTGTGGTACAGGCTTGTGATCCAAGTACTCAGAATGCTGAAGAAGGAACATTCTGAGTTCAAAACCAGCCTGGACTACTGAGCAAGACCCTATTGAAAGGGGCACTCGTGGGGGGGGGTGAAGAAGAAAGAGAAAGGGAGGAAGGAAGGAAAGAAGGGAAGAAGAAAGGAAGGAAGTTAGGAAGGAAGGAAAGAAGTTTCATCACTATGTCTGGAGATGTATTTGTTTGTCAGGTTTCTCCCCGAATACGAAGTCTAATGAGGATGATTGCATAACAGGTCAGGGGTTGTGCCAAGTAACTTCTCCTTTGACATAGTTTGGGGAAGCTGCCTTGGGCAGGAGTTCCCCTGTTCCTAAAATTCCTTCCCTACCTCTCCTCCTAGGATCCCAACTGCAAACTGAGGTATGATTCTACCAGAGTTTGCTCCGGGGAACCAAAGAGTGTAGTGGGCTTCCTTCCATAGAAAAGAGATTACTTAGCCGGGGCATTGATGGCACTCGCCTTTAGTCTCAGCACTTGGGAGGCAGAGGCAGGAGGATCTCTGTGAGTTCTAGGCCAGCATGGTCTACAGAGAGAGGGTTCCAGGACAATCTCCAAAGCAATACAATACAGAGAAACCCTGTCTCGAAAAAACAAACAAAAAAGAAAGAAAGAAAAAAGAAAGAAAAGAAAAGAGATTACTTACAGGAAGGTTGGAGCTCCATTGCCCCAAAAAAGCTGCACTGGGAAGTCTACCTGGCAGGGATGATTGCTTTCTCATAGCCACATAGGCCCCTCCCCTAGTCCTACTCCTCCTGCCTCCTCTAGCCCATCCCCCAAGACCTAGAGACCACGTGCAATAAGGGCAGAACTGCTGGTGCAGGAGTGAGAAGGTAAATAGTCAACTGGACCAGCTGTGATATTTTGAGAGCAAGCCCAGCAGAACTCCTGAAGATGGTGGCAATTTGAATAGTCCTGTACAGTACCTCCAAATGTCACATTAGCTGTGAGACATTAGCACCTGCAATGCCTTAGCTTTTCCTAGTATCTCCAGGTAGCTTTTACTTTTTTTTTTTTTAGAGAGAATTTATTTATTTATTATGTATACAACATTCTTCCATGTATATCTGCACACCAAAAGAGGGCACCAGATCTCATAATGGATGGTTGTGAGCCACCATATGGTTGCTGGGAATTGAACTCAGAACCTCTGGAAGAGCAGTCAGTGATCTTAACCTCTGAGCCGTCTCTCCAGCCCCCCCCCCTTTTTTTTGGTTTTTCGAGACAGGGTTTCTCTGTGGCTTTGGAGGCTGTCCTGGAACTAGCTCTTGTAGACCAGGCTAGTCTCGAACTCACAGAGATCCGCCTGCCTCTGCCTCCCGAGTGCTGGGATTAAAGGCGTGTGCCACCACCACCTGGCTAACATAGTCTTGTTATGTACCCCAGGCAGGCCACAGCTTGGGGGCCTTCTGGCTTGGCATCCCAAGTGTGTTCCACCATGCCCAGTTTATTTTGGTTGCCTTTTTTTAAAAGCTAGGAAGTAGTAAT